GGGCCAAATTTGGCCCGCGGGCCCCACTTTGGGCTCCTCTGTTTTAGACACCTTGTGAAAAGTTTGTTCAACACTTCAGATATCTAAGCTGAAGATGGTATTTTGAAGAAATTAACTGGAAACTTCTTTTGGACCTCTACATACTGTAATGCTAACAATTAGACTATAGAGCCGAAACAAGCAAAATTGTCATAAAATATTCACAAGTCGACAGGACCTGTAGCAGGACTGGACTTATAAGGTGGTTTTCAAGTCTTTTAAACCACTCAAAGTGCTTTTACACTACAAGTCAACATTAATCCTTTTACACCAGCATGCTGGGAGCCAACCAGCTCACCAGGGAGACCTCAGCCCGTTGGTTCTCACAGTCACACTCTGATACACATCAGGGCTCAGTGTCACGTCCAAGACCACCAGACATGTGGACAGGAGGAGAGGGGCCAGGAATCAAACCAACCACGCTGCCTCCCGACTCATCTGCCCATCTGTACGTTTACGTCCATTCTAAAGTGAGGACAAATACAAAATACTTGTTAAATACTTCAATCTGACAAGAAAACATTATAGAGTGTGTGTAAGCGCCTTAGACCTTGTAATTTCGTGACTCACTGAAATACAACAGTAATTATGCCACAGGACATGTTTGAAACTTTTGGTGAAGTTATGCAAACTCTAACCATGGGTAGAGTGGGTTCTCTCCGGGTACTCCGGCTTCTTCCCACAGACCAAAAACATGACTGTTAGGTTAATTGATAACTCTAAATTGTCCCTAGGTGAGAGTGAGAGAGTGAATGGTTGTTTGTCTCGTTTGTCTCTTTGTGTGGCCCTGTGATGGACTTGCGACCTGTCCAGGGTGTACCCCGCCCCTCGCACTGTGACTGCTGGATATGGGCATCAGTGACCCACACAACCCTGAAAAGGAAGAAGCGTGTACAGAAAATGGATGGATGGATGGATAGATTGATTTATTTAAAAGGGAACAGTGCTGTTTTAAACACATGACAATTCATGAATTACAAAAAAACTAAATCAACCAAAGGGCTGTTTTTCATTTTGTTGTTTGCTGGTCATGATGTTTAAAAAGCAATAAAATACTTGAATCAAAATACAACACAGACACATGATTAACAGGCACAAGGAACAAGACTAAATAAATCCTGAAACACTGAGAAAACAAGGTAAAACTCGATGCCAAAGTATCGACTGGTGCCTCCACCTGCCCTGCAGTCATCTACCTTGAAAGCACTGGGAGAGCAGTTACTCTTTTACCTCGATTTCTGGACTTCAATACTCTATATCAGAGGAGCCCAAAGTGGGGCCCGCGGGCCAACTTTGGCCCGCCAAGCCATTTGATTTGGCCCACCAACAGTTGCCAAAGTTACAAGGTTGTAACCTGTTATGTAGAAACACAGTATTTCCATTGGTCAAATGACTATATAAAAGGGCTGTAGTGAAGGTAGTTTTTATTCATGGTGCTGACTTTATCTTTGACTTATTAAGATTAAACATGAAACATGAAATGACAACAAGAAATATTTGGATCAGATTTAACCCCACATGTAGATTTGCACACTTTATAAGGCCACAAAAACTCTTATTTTATCAATTTATAAAATGTCCCATGAGCCTTTGCTACTTGAGCGTATGGGAGAATTTTGCCAAGTGCACAGACTAAAACAAAAGAGGGCCATTGTATAGCTTAATTTTAAAAATAAAGGACTTTACTTAAAAAAGTATTTGTATTTCATGTATTATATTACTGCATTTGGCCCGCAGCCATGGACAGATTTTCATTTTGGCCCCCTCAGGGAAAATGTTTGGGCACCCCTGCTCTATATAACGATATCAACAATGTGTAAAGATGACTTCCTCTTTGAGATTTACCATATAATTATGGCTCCGCCCACTGGAGCCAGAGGCATACTGTTCTCTGGCTGTCTGTGTGTTAGTATGGTGTCCGTCTGTCACAGGTGGTCTTGTGTACATGATATCTCCTGAATTAAATTATATGTTTACTTATATATATAGGCATAGTAACTCCTTTATTGTAATACTCAGTCTGATTAGATTTGGGCATCAAGGGGTCAAAGGTCAAGGTCATTTATGAGGATTGGTAATATAAACTGGCACTTTTTTTCTGATTCCACGACAAATAAAATACCCAGGTAAATGATGTGGTAAATTTTAAAGAGGAAGTCATGTACATCGCTGATATAGTTACATACTCTTGAGAATATTTATGTCCAAAAATAGAGGTAAACAAGTAACTGTGCCCAGTGTTTAAATGCAGACGGGTCTAGGGCAGGCGGAGACTTACCAGTCGATGCTTTGGCATCAAGTTAAATACATGACGAACCACTTATGTGTACCGTTCAAAATAAGGAAATTCAAACCACAAAGATAGAACAGGGGTCAAGTTTCCACATTGGTGACTGATTCAGAACACAGGACCATTTTAGACTATTAATATTTGCTGACAAATCAGCAGGCCGGTTGTTCTGTGGAAACATATTTTAGCTTGTTTGGAGTTTTCCTGTGAAAAGAAAGCAAAGCAGGTAAAACCTACAGACCAAACAGATCAACTGATTTTAAGAACAGTCAAAGTTATGATGGTCATCAGTAATTTGTGAATGGGTTTCTGTCACCACCTTTGATTAGTAAACAAACAACACACGTAAAAATATTAATTTCTTCTGGATTATTGTTGCTTTTGTGTCAGTCTGCAGTTCAGAGCCTGAGAACCTCCAGGCAGCACCTCAGAACCTCAGCAGCGTCCTGGTGATGTGGGAGCGGCCGCGGGCTGTGTACGACGACAGCATAGAGAAGTACTCCATCAGCTACAGAGTGGCTCACGCAGACCAGGAGGCCTTCTCTGAGTTCCTGACTGACGGCTATCAGGACACGGTAAGTCCCACCACAGGAAATATTCAGAACTGATTTTCTTCACTGTAGGTTCTGTAAAATATCCCAGAGAACACTGGATGGATATAAATAAAACTACAACTTTTCAACCTTTAGACTTACACTGGCCGCCACAGCTAAGCTAACCAAAAACAGCTAAAACTAAGCTGTTTACAGATATTATCTAACATTTGCTGGGGTTGTAGCTGAGAGCTACTCAGAGCAAAATTTGCTTGTAAAACTTTACCAATCATAGTAAAAATATCTGGGGCCTCATGTACAAAGACTTGCGTGGATTTCTTACTGAATCATGGCATACGGTCAAATCCAGAAAACTGCGTACGCTCAAAAAAATCCAGATGTATCAAACTGTGCGTACGCCTGAATCCACGCACATTTCTTTTGTACATCATAATTAACGTGGAACTGAGCGCAGGTAAGACACCTCCCCTGACACGCCGTCATTAACATGTTAAACAAATGCAAATTACTTCCTGCGTGTGTGAAGGACACGTTTGAGTGATCCCTGCACGATCAGAAATGATTTCTAATGTCATAAAAATAATGAATTAAATATAATGTGAGTGAGAAAAAAATCCTAAGCAAAAATAGGAATAAAATATGTTTATCACGCAAAGAACGAGTGATTGTGTGATTGTGTGTGTGTGTGTGTGTGTGTGTGTGTGTGTGTG